TTGCTCTGAGATTGAGAATGGGTCTCTCAGTCGTCTCGGATTGGATAAAGTGGGATTCGGATCGGGGATCCGACGGTTCAAAGTTTTCTAACCCTTATGGGTCGAGTGATTATTGAGATTTGGGGCAGTAATGCATCTTGGGTAATTCTCGGGTATTGAGTGTGATTATCAGAGGGTACAGTCGGTGCTCGGTTCGAGACGGTGGTCAGGACACCATAAAGGAAGCGAAAGTGTGTTCGAGTTTCCACGGGTATGCCTTGTGGGACCTGGTCCGGTTAAGGCCAGATGGCGTGTTGTGGGAACATCTTTGGAGTTGTATTGCAGTAGGCTTCGGGGGCGAAGCCTAATTTAAGTGGGGGAGAATTGTAACATCCTGAAATTTCAAGAGTTGAATGGAAGGGCTAAAAGTGTAATTTGGGAAAGAGTGACTCGTCGAGTCCATGGATGGACTCGGCGAGTAGAGTCGCGACTTGGTCGCGTGTTAAATAGCCGACTCAGCGAGTCATTGAGATGGACTCGGCGAGTAGGCGCTGAGTGGAGAAAACCCTAATTCTCGGGGTTGAGCCCTATATAAAGAGCATTATGTTTCCTCCCCAGCCTCTTTATCACCCTTTGAGTCCCTGAAACCCTAAAATCATGGAGAGGCACCATTGTTGAGTGGATTGGGGCTTAGAGAAGTATTTGTTGAAGAAAGATTGGAAGTTTGAAGGTGTGGAGCAAGGGGCTTTGCTTGGATTCGAGTTCCTTGCAGATTGGGGCATTCTTTTGAGGTAATATCTCGTTCTTTGGCTGTTGTTATCTTGTCTCTTCATTTTGGGGTTTGAGGGGAAACTTATCTTGGGTTACTTTGGAGTCTAGAGGTTGGATCTGAGGTTGCTACCTCAGATCTGGAAAGGAGGAGAGTTGGAATGCAGGAAAGTCCCTGTGTTGAGTGTTGGATGAAGCTATCTTGTCCCAAACCTTAGCTCTAATGTGTATAATGCCTAGATCTTCATGGATTCATGTAAATTTTGCCACTTTACGTGATGGACGGGTTGTAGGAGGCTAGATCTATGTTTTGGACCAATTGCATGGCCTGGGATGCTTCTGTATGGATTCAGACCGGTGGTACTCGGCGAGTCACATGGGTGGACTCGACGAGTTGCTTGAAGACGAGCTGAGACTCGACGAGTTGGAAGAACAACTCGGCGAGTTGGATGAGGACGGTCTGGAACTCGACGAGTTGGATGAACAACTCGGCGAGTAGGTTGAAGATAGCCTTAGACTCGGTGAGTCTTGTCGAAGAGTCCCAATATTTTCTGGTTGAGTCGAAGAATTGGTGAATCAAGGGATGACTCGGTGAGTTATGTGCGAGTGGACTCAGAGTTGTTGGACTCGGCGAGTCTCGGGGTGACTCAGCGAGTTAGGTCGCGGATTGAGTGAAGTTTTGAGTTGGGAACTCGCCGAGTCATAGGGTTGACTCGGCGACTAGGGTCAGTCAGGGGTTGACTTTGACCCAGTCTTTGACGAACGGTTGACCAGTGGTTTCCAGGGGTATTTTGGTAATTGTTGATTATGGTTTTGAGTTCAGTGCATTGGTGGCTGTCCAGTGGTGGAGATCGTATCAGGGATCGGAGCAGTTCGGGTTATCTGTTCAGTCGGCAGTTTCAAGGTGAGTTATCCTCACTATATCTATAGGGTTTAAGGCACCAAGGCTGACCCTTTTATCGGATGGAAATCCGGGTGATTGTCTGTTGTATGATATTGCGGGATATGGGCCGGAAGGCATTACATGTTGCGGGCCGGAAGGCAATGCGATGTGGACCGGAAGGTCATGGCCTGGAAAGGCGTATGTGCATAATTATTATGTTGGCTGAGTCGTAGGGTGATGTTATGCTAGTGATCGGCTAGGCTAGTATCTTGGTTAGGGTAATGATATGTTATGTGATCTGTTGATCGATTTGCTAACTGTGAACTGCTATATGATTACATGTTATGTGTATGGTTGTCTGGTCTGGAGTGTAACCCGGTATGCACGGTTGTTCTATGTTCTGTCATGATATATATATATATATATATATATATATATATATATATATATATATATATATATATATATATATATATATATATGCCTTTACGTTGCGGGCCGGAAGGCTATATGTTATAGGCCGGAAGGCAATGTGTTATGGGCCGGAAGGCATTACGCAATGGGCCGGAAGGCGATATGTTTGGACCGGAAGGTTGTGGCCTGGAAGGGCGTATATGTGGTTGGTATTTTGGGGGTATCTCACTAAGCTTTCGGGCTTACAGTTGTGGTTTTATGTTTTCAGGTTCTCAGGAGTCTGTGGCAAGGCAAAGGCGTGATCGTACCGTTCCTCGCGTTGGTGTTTTATGAAATGGACCTGGGAAATACTCTGTTAAATAATGTATTGAAAACCTTTTTGTAACCACGTTATTAAAATGGGTTGTTTTTGAAAAGTTTTAATTGTTTCGAAATTTCGGTCGTTACATTCTATTTTTCTCTTTTTTTTGCACATTCCAAAGTCTTTAAACCTGAAATAATTGTTGAAGACACAAAGAATCTTTTTTTTTTAATAATAATATGTTATGTTTTTATTATTGAGGTTATAGACTGATAGTCTTATGTTTTATAAAATCAGGAGGATCGGGTTTGAAGAGGAAATTACCAGAGGAAGAGGGAGAAGGATCCTATTTCAAAATACAAAAATAAGTAATGAGCATGTATACCATCCCGAAGAGGTGGGTAATCCACAAAACTGTCGCAGTGTAGATATTATGCAACTATAGGAATCACAACAAATCAACTATAGTTAATAAAGCCATTAATAATTTTGTCATGTCTGCACATATTTCTATGTTGTTGGGAGTTATAGAATTCCTCAGGTGAAGAAGTGTGTATGTGATTCAGTTGTTCAGTCTAGAAGAGGTTGGGTGTTCCAACAGTCGATTTCAAAACTTCAATGGAGTTTAGCTTCACAAAATATACAGCAGGTTAGGGCTAGCCTAGGCATAGGGAGACATGAGCCATTGATATCACGGGTTGTGTTTGGCAATTTGGTGTCTTGGTGTTTCCTAGTTTACACACAATATGAGCAAATCAGGGGAACTTTTGTTGTACTTCCATTCAAGACTAATGTTGTTCATTTGATGTCTACTGCTTTGGCTATATATATATATATATATATATATATATATATATATATATATATATATATATATATATATATATATATATTGCTGCCCAACAATAAAAACAAAGCATTAACATTGCAAAATCCTTTTTGTGTTAAATAGTACTGGATTTCAATTTAATAGAACAAATAATACAATAATTTAAAGTAACTTGCATTTGTAGTGGTGAAAATGTTGGCGATTTCTTTTTTTTTTTCAAGTCCAGATAAGCACTGAAACTAAGGGCACAAGTAAGTCTCTTTACCCACGTGGTCTATGTTTAACTGTTTGTTTTGTAGATTATAGATTCTTTCCTGGAAACACTGATTAGTGTAAGTTAATATATTTCTAAGTCTTGTCGTTTACTGATGTGTGTTCTAAAGTGATTTGTGCTGTAAAAATTGTTTAGTTTTGTTTGTGTAAACATTGGTGTTCTTTTGATAAAACTATCTTTGGTTCCTCTTCATATGCATTTTTGTTGATGATTTTATTATATTTCTCTGACCACTGATTCAATTGTGACTATTTCATTGTAAAAACATAGCCTATACATAATCTGCTGGTCTTCCATTTTGGTTTGAAACCCTAAATTTCTTCTTGATCTTTGTCTGATAATGAATAATTCAATAGCTCTTGTGCCTGTAACTACGGAGCTTGTTGATCAAGTTCATTGGTATGGTTGTTGGCTGGTAAAGTTTTTATTTTTGCATATATAATTATAACCGTGTTGTCAACATCTTTCCATTCATGCATCTTGTAGATATATCAAGTTATAATAATCGGTTATATATTGTTCTCATGGCAGTATTACCGTTTGTATCTATCGATGGGTGGGTCAAGAAAAATAAGAGGTGTTCAAAATCTGGAACCATTAAGACCACATCATTTACTAGAGCAAATGGTGTGTACTGCTTTCAGAGCTGCAGCTGACACTCTTAACCAGACTAGATTTGGTGGGTTAAAGAACATGAAAATAAAAATCGACCAATTATACTTCACCATTGCTTCTGCATTGAAGCCTTTACAAGGTATGTGTAATGTCTCATTTACAATTTTTAGACACAAGGGTAGAATAGTCATTTTTTTAATCTGACTTGTTGCATTGGCAGCGAACAAGCTACCGGGTGATATGGAAATAATCCAAGATGTAAAACGGCTTTGTGTTGTATTCGAACACGTGGAGAAGCTGCTAACACTTGGCAGTGGCAGTGGGAATCAATGGAGTCACCAACAGAGGGAGATTAGAATATGGAGTTGCAAGGACTGTGGGAAAGTGAAAGCAGGGGGTCCATACACATTGAAGTAATAATATTTAATTTTTAAAATTTCTTCTGATATTTAAATGTTTTTAATTTACTGATATATATTTTTTGTTTGTTTGTGTATGAATGATGATAGTACTGCAAGTGCTGTTACAGTTAGGAGCACAATTTGAAGGCTGAATGCCAGGTGCAACCATTAGGTTTTTATTTAAAATATCCTTTATTATTATTATTATTATTATTATTATTATTATTATTATTATTATTATTAATTTAAATTTTTCTCAATCCACGTGGGCTTTATTATTATGAACAAGTTTATGATAAATCTGATGTTTTGGTGCTCTTTATTTTACTGCAGCGGGCAGATGAAATCTGAACAGGAGACCATTATGGCCCAGACTTAACAACATATAGCTATGCAGGTACTACAGAGTTTATTATTATTATTAATTCTTATTATTATTATTATTATTATTATTATTATTATTATTATTATTATTATTATTATTATTATTTATGTACTTTCAATGCTTTGAAACTTCATGTTTTTATTTGTCGAAAATGGCCTTACAAGTTGGAGGGTTTAATCTTCCTGGATTACCTAGATTACCTGATGAGATTCCAACTAAAGTTTTGTGTTTAACTGAGGTACCTTATGTTTTTTCTTTTTTAAAAAGAAAAAATGTAAATGATGTTTAAATAATATTTTTGAGAAAATGTTAGGAGTTGGTTAATGTGGAAAACCTCATTTTGAGAAAATATGATATTTTTGAATAATTTTGGAACATTTTATTCACTTCACGGTTTTTTGAGTGCAGTGAGAGTAATTCTTGTCCAGATTGTGTTTGTGTTCTAATGAAATCGGGCAGGCTGAATCTCAACGGGCAGATTTGTTTGAGTATCAAAAAAAATTTTGTAAGTGATTAATTAATCTTTCCTTTTTTATTTAATAAAAAACGGGTTGTCATGATGAACATGAACATATAGGTGATGAAGAAGAAGTAGACATCAGTCGGGTCTTTGAAGAAGCTCATCAATTTATTGAAGTTGTTGAAAAAAAAGGTGAGCTCTATTTTATTTTATTTTTTATTGTTTTTATTTAATATGTTAAGAGTTAATATATTATTAAACAAATCTTTTTCGAAGGGTAAGAAGGTCATTTATGTTTCCATTTGTATTCCTTTCTTCTTACTCTTCCCTCTCAAGCATGTCTTAGTCGTTGGTTACCCATTTAGACATTATATATGACAATGCTTATTATTGGTTAAGTGTCTGAGCTGGAATCTCAAATCGAGGTTGGATAATGATGAATTGAGCCCTGAACAAGTCAATGATGTTAAGGACTTCATTGATGACTATGTGGAACGAAATCAGGTCATCATATACTTTTTTCCTTTTCACATTTTCTCAATAGTTTCTTTGAGGTTCTCTCCACTATACCACCTTGTTAAATTCAGGATAAAAGAATCTTGTGGTTTTCACTTTTCACAAAGCATTTAAAAGTAAAACCACCACAAACCATTTCATCTGCAGGAGGATTTTGATGAGTTTGAGGATGTTGATATGTTATATATACAACACCTTATCACTAGACAAAGTAGAAGCTCTAGAAGATCTTGTTATCATGAATCCCTTGGTCATGTGTTTGTATATCATTGGTCACGTGTTTGGGTGAAGGTCTGGATGGTGATATGAATGGTGCATGTCTCAAAGTGTGTATTCAAATATCAAGTTAATCTACTCGTATTAATTCATGTCTCAAAGTGTGTATTCCAATATCAGGTATCATGATTTGTGTATTTACAAAATTTTGAAATAGGGTCTTGTTCAATGCTTTAGCTGTGTTTGCTCTAAGGGAGATCAACTTATCAAAAGTAACTTATTATTTTCACCCTTTTATTTAATATTTTTGTGATTGAATGAAAGTATTAATGAAAGTAATTGACAACCCTTTTTCTGTAAATGATGTTGTGATTGTGGGAGAGGTGTTGTGTTTTTCTCTGTTGCTAGGTAACCTTTTCAACAACAGCATTCTACTTAAGCAGGTGACTAATCAAGATTAAGGGAGACTTGTAATCATGTTTGGCATTCCTTTCCAGTAAGAAACAGAGTTGTATGCTTATTTGTTAGTTTTATAGGAATGTATAACACATGTTAGTAATGTATTATTTTCTTCAACATTTGAATGATTCTTTGTATGACATTATAATTTGTGCAATTTATTTTATTTTTTGAGTATGAAATTTTATTTTATATTATGCAATGGATTGTATTTTTTGTATATGGTATTTTATTTCTATTATAAGAAATTAAATGCAAATTTAATTTAAAAATTAATAAATATATAATTTTTTTTAAACATTTAAATTTACGATACACAAAAATGTGTGTCATCTCCGTTTATGACATGGCCTTTCTTGACAGGGGCTTTCTTGATACGCATTGCGTGTCATTAACACGCGCGTCGTAAGGTTACGACACGCAAATGCGTGTCGTCTTCCTTTATGACAGGGCCTTCCTTGATACGCATTGCGTGTCCTAAATGCGCGTTGTAATTGCGCGTCGTCTCTCTTTATGACAGGGCCTTCCTTGACGCGCATTTGCACGTCGTCTGAGCCTTTTACGACGCGCAATGAGCATCGTAAAAGGCTGTTTTTCTAGTAGTGCATTGATCTCCTTAGTTATGCGTAAAGTTTGCAACTTTACATGGTGAATGGACTTTGGAAGTATGGATCTATGATTTGGAGCCCCTGCATGGCTCGAAAAACCACTGAATGGATTAAGAACTGAAGCGACTCGGCGAGTCACATGGGTGGACTCAGCGAGTTGGATGAATTTAGGCAGGAACTCGGCGAGTTGGAAGAACAACTCGGCGAGTCTGTTGAAGATTGCCTTGGACTCGGCGAGTCTTGGTTGGACTCGGCGAGTCAAGTCGCGAAACCCCAAACCCTTCTAGTTAAGACTCTGATTAGTGAGTTGGGTGAAAACTCAGTGAGTTGGACAGGACAGAACTCGGAAATCAGTAGACTCGGCGAGTCATGGTCTGATTCGGCGAGTCGAGTCGCGAATGAAAGGGGTTTCAGAGCTTATGAACTTGGCGAGTCAGTAGGCTGACTTGGCGAGTAGGGTCAACCTGGAAGGTCAACTGTGACCAGGACTTTGACTTTGACCAAAGTTGACTTAGTTGACTTTTGAAGGACTGTCAGACTAAGTATCATTTTGATATTGGTAGCTCAGAGAGCTAGATGAGCAGCGACTCAGAAGGTTGTCGGTTAGCGGCTAGAGGGTTATCAATAAAGCTCAGTAGTTCAGGTGAGTTTCCTTTTAGTAGGAACGGGTCTAAGGCCACAATGTCGACCCATTTAGCTAGTAGTAGTTTCCGGACTTCGGTCTAATGTAGTAGTTAGTATGTTTGATGCCATTGTATCTCAGACAGGATTTATGTGTTATGTGTTCCAGGATATGGCCCGATGCAGTATGCAGTATATGTGTTCATGCTAGTTGATATGTTTATGTTATGCTATGTTCAGTCAGCTTCCAGACTTCGGTCCGATGCAGGGGACAAGGTCCCAATCAGTTTCCGGACTTCGGTCCGATGCAAGGGGGAAGGCCCCAGTTAGTCTGCTTATGCTAGATGATATGTGTTATGCTAGTTGATATGTGTTTATGCTATGCTATGATCAGTCAGTTCCAGACTTTGGTCCGATGTAGTTAGTTCCAGACTTCGGTCCGATGCAGTTAGTTCTGGACTTCGGCCTGATGTAGTGGGCAAGGCCCTGTATGTGATTTATATGTATTGTATGGTATCTGGTAGTTTGGGGGAGCTCACTAACTTTCGTGCTTACGGTTTCAGTTTTTGGTTTCAGGTACTCAGTTTTCAAAAGAGGAGCTTAGAGGGATTGCATTGCATACACCATAGTTAGACAACCTAGGATGTTTTACTCTGATAACAAGATTATGTTTTTAATTAATACTCATAAATTTTATTATGACTTACGATACGGTTTTTATAAATATGGTTTTTAGTAATGTTTTAAACAAAAATTTTAGTCGTGATTTTTGGGATGTTACAAGTTGGTATCAGAGCCTTGGTTTGAGGGATTCGGACGTACTTGAGAGTGTATCTGGACTCAAACTAAGGAAACGGGAAAAAGGTTTTCAAAAGGAATTTTTAGTAAAAAGGAGTTTGAGAAAAGAAAAGACTTTTAGAAAAAGCGAAAAGAATATTTAGAAATAAAATAAATTGAAAAGAGAAAAAGGGTGTTGTGCATGCAATCAGCCGAGCTCAAGTAAGTACTCCTAAATTACTCATACAAGTTTATGATTATCAGTTTTAGTTTCAGTTTCAGTTTCAGTATAATAGCATGCTAGTATAGGACTAAGGATCTAGGAGGATGCCTTATGTGCCTGCTTATGTGTTTCAGCCTTATGAGAATTGCATGCTAGTATTGAGTAAACAGCAGTAGGATAGCCGGTTAGGTTATGCCTGATAGCATAAGTTCAACAGTGTATGCTAGTACAGTTTCTTGATTATGAGAGTAGTTTGCATGAGTATGTTTCCTTTATTTGAATGTTGCTTGCTCTGTGCTTAGTGGGACTCTGAGTGATGGGAATTAGCCATTACGTAAATACGTCACATCACATGTGATCAGGGTTGAAACGACAGGCTTTTTGGAAGCCTTTAACTTGTATTAAAATGCTCATATTCACAGACAGGTCCGGATTTGTGTTTGAAATGACAGGCTGTTTTGTAAAAATCACCATAAATTGTATAAAAATCGTGTGGAGATGTGCAAGTAGTCATTTTAAAGCTAAGAAGTGGAACTACTTGCTCATAAAACAGTTTTGAAAACTAAAATGTTTAAGTTGCCCAAAACAGTCCGTGAATGGAGTTGAACTTTTCTGATGAAGGCTGTTAGAAAAGTTTAGTTATGTTCTTGGTGTTTTAACTTGTATCCCCCCCCCCCAAAAAAAAAAAAAATTGAGAAAACATGAAAATATAGGGGTATGAACTCACCTTAAGTGATTTTAGAAGATGATTGTTGAAGAATTGAAGTGTTTAACTCGAGAACACTTGAAGATGCCTTGAAGATTTTCGAGAATCTAACATCATAGTTATGGAGTTTGTGTAAGCAATCAATGATTTGAGTAGAATGAAGTGCAATAATCACAAGGAGGATGAATTATACTTACCAAGAGTGGAAGAACACTTGATGATCAGCCTTGGAATCTCGAATTAGAGAGAAAAGTTTGAGAGAAAAGTTGAGTTGGATCCTTGGTGAAATGAGAGCATGTGAAAGAAAATGAGGAGAGAGGATGAATGTCCAGCTCTCAAAAACGTGGGAAAGGGTGATAATTGAGTGGAAAGGACATTCATGTGACCTAGGTAAGGTGGGGAGGTGTGGCTGGTCATAGAGTGGGTGTGGGAGTGGTTGCTTGTGTCATAGGTAAAGCAAAGTCAACACTCCACCTCTTTGTACTTTACCCACTAGCTTTTATTATTTAAATAAAGATTTTCATGAAAATATGATTAAATTGTGAATATTTAGGGTTCATTATGTTAAAATATGATTTTTGGTGAAAATCTCGCGTTAAAATAATTAAAAACGGGCTTAAAACGCAAAACTAGTCGAAAACCGCGAGAAAAGGAGTTTCCAGCGAGACCTCTCGGTCCTAGGCCGAGGTTCGGTCCCTAGGACGAGATTCGGTCCTTTCTGATGCAGAGCCGGAAGTGAAATAGGGTGAACCAAAAGTGAGAGGCGAAGGCGAAGGGCTCGGTCGGAAGTCATGGAAGCGAAATAGACCGAAGGTGGTCAGACCCGAAATGGACCGAAATGAATAGTACCTTCGGGTTCGGGTGGTGCGCGAGGTTCGGTCCTGAGAGGACCTTTCGGGTTCGGTTCTTCTTGGGCGTGGTTCGGCCCTGAGAGGACCTTCGGGTTCGGTTCTTCCTGGGCGAGGTTCGGGTTCAGCAGATGCTCGGTCCTCTTGGTTTCGGTTCTTAGCAAGTTCGGTCCCTATAGGGACCTTCGATTCTAAGAGGCTTCAGCCCTAATAAGAGGGTTTCGGGTCCTTAAGCCTATTTTACTCGTTTTTACCCCGTTTTAAGCCGTTTTTGACCCGGTTAAGGGTCGGAATGACCCGAATGACTTCAAAAAGTTACGGAAACTTTTGAGAGAGATTTGGGAGAGGTTTCTAATTCTTGGAGAGATATCTCATACAAAGAGAGATTTGGGAGAGATTTCACATACTTGGAGAGATTTCACATACCTGGAGAGATTTCTCATTCAAAGAGATATTTGGAAGAGATTTCATATGCTTGGAGAGATTTCTCATTCAAAGAGATATTTGGGAGAGATTTCACATACTTGGAGAGATTTCTCATCCATAGAGATGTTTGGGATAGATTTCACATACTTGGAGAGATTTCTCATACAAAGAGATATTTGGGAGAGATTCTTGATAAGAAGAGATAGAGTGAAAACGATTGAGAGAGGTTTCATGTGTGGCATTTGTGAGTGTCCGGCTTCGCAATGCAAGGTTCGTAAACCCTGTTAAGCCTTGTTTAAGGATCTTACACACTCCCGATGAGTATGCAACATTGTTTTATCGGTTTGGCTCGCCACGTACCACAATTTTAGGTTAAGGAGATCTAGATGTTCGCACTTTTTTGTTTATGATCTCTCATTAGAATAGAGAGTTGTGTAGAAATTTCATAATGTAAATTCTAGTACCCATGGGAAAATTGAGTCAAACGGTTTGACTTGTTGACTTTAGTTGACTTTGACTTGACCGAAAATTGACGGTTGTCACATCATTCCCCCATTAGAGGGAATTGCGTCCCGAAATTTGAATGTAAGCAAGGAGTAGGCACGAATAATCGAGCCAAGAAGTGGGGATACTTCCTAATCGACTGATTCTCGCGCTCCCAAGTGACTCCAGGTCCTTGGTTAGTATTCCAGTGAACTTTCAGTAATGGGAAGCAACGTTGTTTCATCCGCTTGACCTCGATCCATGGTCACTACGGTTCTTCCAAGAAGGTGAGGCTCTTGTGGAACTCGAT